CAAACTCCATCGGTTGTCTCTCAAAGCTCAAGTTTCTCAACGTCTCCGGCAACCTTCTCCGGGCTCTCCCGAAAACGATTGGAAACTGCAAGTCATTAGAAGAGTTGAATGCTAATTTCAACCAGCTCACAATGCTACCGGAGACCATCGGATTCGAGCTCACCTGCTTGAAGAAACTGTCGGTTAACTCGAACAAGTTGATTCTCCTTCCTCAGTCGATTACGCACTTAACATCACTACGAGTTCTCGATGCACGCCTCAATTGTCTCCGGTCACTCCCCGGTGACATGGAGAATCTGATCAACTTGGAAGTTCTCAACGTGAGCCAAAACTTTCAGTACCTCGAAACCCTACCTTATTCCATCGGCCTATTAATGTCGCTTGTCGAATTGGACGTCAGCTATAACAAAATAAAGTATCTGCCCGATTCCATCGGGTGCTTGAGGAAGCTCCAGAAGCTTAGCGTGGAAGGGAACCCGCTGGTTTCGCCGCCGGTGGATGTGCTCGAACAGAGCTTGCAGGTGGTTAAGGAGTATCTGTGTGAGAAAATGAAAGCAGGGCAAAACCCGCAGAAGAAGAGATCATGGGTGGGGAAGCTGGTGAAGTATGCGAGCTTTAATGGGAAAATGACGATGACCGGTGGCGGTGGCCGCCGGTCTTGGGAGAAAGAAGGGTCCATCATGGCGGAATATAGATCTATCGACGGCCTCGCTGCACCGCGCTGCGTGGGAATCTCGTCACCGGGTCGACTCTTTTCGACTCACAACACGGGAATGTTGTCACCTCGCCGACTCTTTCCATCTCGTACTTACAAATAATATATTGAATATATCGTCAGAATAAAGTATTCGATATATCGTTATAAAATCTTTTAAAATCAAATAATTTTAATGATGAATCGTGATGTATATGATTATATTGTAATTAATGCATTAAATATTCAACCAATATAATATAGTGTAGAGTGTAGAATAATGTTGACGTGAATGTCGATGAACTCTACTTGAGCATTTAAGTTTAGCTTTGAGTTCGGGTGTTTAGTTTCGAGTCTGCACATAAATGTGCATTGTACTTATTTGTGTATATTGTATAATTTTTTAACATTTTTATATTTTTCTATATATGTTCCATAATATTTGAGTGAATCAAATTAAATTTGAATTTATATTAATTGAGTTAAAATTTTTAGTTTAGTCCAAATTAATAAGTCTACCAAATTCCTTTCGGCCCACAATAATCCCAAGTTTAGTTTTATCATCACGCGACACAATTTCGATTCAGGAGATTTTAAGGATTGGTTACATAGGAATTGTCGTTCGAAGATCAAAGGGGAAGAGGATATAGCTTGGGGAATGTTGTTCTAGACAATCATATGGGGCTTATGGAAGGGACGGTATGCAAAAAAATTTCAACACAATATTCGAAATCCAACCCAGATCGAGAGATATAGCACAAGATTAGTAACAGATATAAAATCGGTGAGGGAAAACTTACATGCAAGGACTACCAAGGAGCCAAGATGGGTAAAATGGAGAAGTCCACCTTCGGGTAGCTGGAAACTAGACTCCGATGGAGCTTATAAATCAAACACCGGCGATGTAACTGCTGGCGGAATCCTTCGCGACGATGAGGGAAACTGGATCCAGGGATTTATGGTGAACATCGGGAAAGCCTCCTCTGCAATGGCTGAGATTTGGGGCCTTCGACCAGGATTGTTGTTGGCCAAATCCCTAGGTGCTCAAAACCTGATCGTGGAAACTGACGCCTTGTGGCTAGTGGAAACCCTAAACAAAGATAGAATCGATTGACATCCAAAAGGAGACAATGTTTAGAGATTGTGAAAACTTAAAAAACAAGGGTTAGAGTTGTATATTTTATAATATTTTGATATAACAAATTAAAATATAATATTTTTAGACTTGAATTGAATTTGTTCAAAGTTTTTAAAAATAATTTGAAATCTATTTAAATAGAATTTGAGCACAAAATTAATTTTTTGAGTACAAAGTACCAATACTATTCTTACAGTATTGATATTGTTCTATTGATATTATATGAACAATATCGATAATATTCATGTGGTGTCGATATCAAATGTAAGAGAAATATCGATACTCTATTGGTAGTATCGATACTACTAGTTGTCTCAAATTTCAAAATGCAAAATAGGTATCGATACTCAAAGGAGTACTGATACTACTTTACGCTTTAGTATCGATACTATCAGCATATTAATGATACGGATCAAGCCCAACGGCTAACAACGACTAGTTGATTTAGAAATTATAAAGGAAATATCGATACTCATTAAAGGAGTATCAATACTCTCAGTCCTAGGCAGTCTTATTTTGAAGAAAATTTACCCGTAACGGCTCAAAAATATCCCCAACGACTAGAAACATTCACATACTCATTTCAATATATAGAAACACGTTTAGAACACTTGAAAAAGGGTGATAACACATATCTAAGCAATCTAACACAAGAGAAGAGTTTTTCATTTCTATTTTCTTTTATTTTATAAATATTAGTGTTTTAGTCAGCATAATTTTGTAAACACTTACCTTGTGAGATTTTCTTGTTTACACTTTTTATACCTTTGTAAAAGGAGAGTGATTTTATCTTAGCCATCAAATAGATAAGGATCTGTAAATGTTGTCTCTTTATCCTGTGAAAAATAAAAAATAAATTAGTGAATTTGTTAAAAAATTATTAGTGAAGATAGAGGATGTAGACTTGGTTGAAAAGTCGAACCATTATAAATTTTTGTACATCAATTTTCTCATCTTTTAAATCTCCTTAGTCCCTAAATTTTTTTTAAATCCACTTCAACCCCTCTATAAATTTTTCTGTTGTCATTTGAGCTTCATCGAAACGTTCCCAACAGTTGGATTTCAGAGATCTGCCATACCTGGAGGGAAGGGAATAGGTGTGCTGACCGACTCGCTAACCTTGCTTTCGAAAAAGGAGTTCACATTCTGGCATCCCCACCGGAGGAACTGAAGAGCTTGATTCAGGCAGACACAGTGGGAATAGAATTCGTTAAGTGGAAGGGTTAAACGTTGTCGTTTTTGTCATTTCTTTTTGTTCCAAAAAAATCACGCGACACAATTTAAGAATGCCACCACATTGAAGAAATCAAATATTCAAATTCAAAGAATTGATATAGTTAAAAAAAAAAGTAGAGATTAAATTAAAGTTATTTTACCTCAAAATTATATAATAGTATTTTCTATTTTATTTTTTCATATGTATGGATAAATTACAATTTGGTAACTGAACTTTATTATCTTTCTTATTTTACTCATTGTACTTTAAGTCTTTTCAATTTTCTCATTGGATTTACTACATTGGCTTTTTTTTGTTACTCAGCTGTTTATGGGATTGTTCAAATCCAGGTACCCGTATTTTCGTGTACACAAAACTTTCGAGTTACAGAAATTCGACCCATGACACAACCCGTAAGTGGCAAGTACCCGTAAAACTCGAATACCCGTATTTTCGAATCACGAGTACCCAATTAATATTTATTTATTTTATTAATTTATATTAATTTAAAAAATCAAATAGAAAAAATATAAAACTTAAAAAATTTATCATACATAACATAAACATAAAATTTATAAATTTAAATTATATATAGGGGTGAAAATCAGGTAGGGAAAAACTGAAAACCTTGGGGATTCAAACTGATGAGGATGGAGAATAACCAGAATCTTCACCTACGAGGATAAGGATGGGGGAAGTTTTATCCCCGAAGCTCAAATGAGGATGGGGATTGCTATATCAGAACCGTGAGGATAACCAAACTATACCCGTGTAAATAACCGTGAGGATCCCAAAAAATATCCGTAGGGATCCCTGATATTTTACAAAATTTAAAAAATATATATTTATACCCATTTACCTATATACCCTTAATATTTATTTTAACAAAAAACTTATATTTGATAACAAAATAAAAAAAACTAACTATATATATTCTAATACCGCAGTGGTTAAGATTGTACATATACATTGAGTGTTAGATGAATATTGACGTTTGAAACTTTCATGTTATAGATAGAGACTAATTTGAGTCAAACCGATATATCTTACAAGTTTTAGGTGTTGCATTCATTTAAAATATGTTAGTTTATTTTTTTGGGATGAAGATTAACCGAAATCCGCAGGGATCTATAAGGGATAGGTATGGGGACAAAAATATCCCCTAAAAATATCCCGTTGCCACCCCTAATTACATAATCTAAAAATAAAATATAAAAAATATAAAAATAAAATAAAATTATAAAATTTAAACTAATTTTAAACTAATTTAAGAGTAAAAGAAATAATTTAAATGTAAGGTAAAATAATTTGAAAAAAAAATATAGATTTAAAATGTTAGGGTAAAATAATTTTGAAATTTAAAATAAAATATAATTTAAAACAAAAATAATAATAAAATAAAAAAAGAATTTGGTCGGCGAGTACTTGATTAAGGCTAATTTTGTGACCCGTGCCTAACCTGATAATCCGCCAAAAATAATGGGTTGGGTACCTGACCGCAAAATCATATATTTACCTCTAAAGTATCCAATAATTTTATAGTAGGTCAGTGAGTCAACGGATCGAGAATTTTTGAACACCCTTAGTCGTTTACTCTCTAAATGAGATTTTATATAGATAAGAAACAATATCATTTTGATGAATTTTTTAAAATAATGTCGTTTTAACGTCGTTACTATTTAACGATGGACTGATAAAAAAATCCGATATATATAGTTTATTGAGGAAATTGAAAACTTTTAAAGTTTAGTGATTAAAATAGAAGAGGGTAAAGTTTAGTGATGAAATTCGTAATTTACCCTATATAAGCATAATGGTTATTTATCCTTTCAAGTGTTGGAGCAATTTCATTAATTTCATGGTAGTCAATACTGAAAGCTTTGGCCCGCCGGATAGGGAATATATTATAAAAATATTAAAGCTTAGTAGATGCCGCCGGCTTTTATATGCTTTCTGAAACCCAGCAGTGCTTTAAGCTTAGGCAAGTCAATAAAACACTCGCAGCTCAATCAATCAGAGACGACGATGATTCTGCTGCTGAAACCCATCACTCGACTGTCTCTCCTCCAAAACCATTTCCAGATTACCCATAATCCAAAACCGAGACCCATTTGATTATCATGCAGTTTGAGCCACGAAGCTCAGAAATTAGTGCGTGAATTCGACCCCAAGATTCTCACAGAGCAAGCCATCACTCCGCCTTCGTCCTGGTACACTGACCCCTCCTTTTACTCTCTTGAGCTCGATCGCGTATTCTACAAGGGTAGGCAAGCTGTTGGTTAGTATACATATACATAATATTCCAAGAATCTCTACATAGATTGTTGAATTTTGTTCGGGTTTCCCCCCCTTCATGTTTTTTAAGGATATATCGAACAGATAGAACAACCCGTGATTTTTTCAGCGGCAGGTACAAACTTTCTTACCTAAATATCTAATTTTATTCCCCACTACTATGAGGTTTAAATAGCGGTTCGATAACGGAATGGCGGTCTTTATATAGCTGTAGCAGTGCCATCCAAAATTATTATGGTAAAAATAACAATATAAAGTGGAATCACACCAATAACAATGGGGTAAGTGCCACTTGTGGGCCGCTATTCCGTTATTGTCCCTTAATATTGTCCATTATTTTCTGTTATTATTCCATTACGGTAAAAAAAATCTAACTCCATTATTGTACCTTAATTATTATGTGTTAAGATAAGTTGTGCGAATATAAAATAATTCATGACTGCTGCAGTGACTTCAATAACATTTTGTATGTTCGTAACTGTGATAAACACAACAAGACTTAAAACGCGGCCGCAATCATAATTTAAATCATATCTTGGTCCTTAGACTGAAGATTTTCTTGTGTTCGTGCAGACTGGGAAATGTGGAATTTGTGGTATGCAGGGATGATGATGGGAAAATAGCTGCTTTTCACAATGTTTGTAGGCATCATGCCTCTCTTCTTGTGTCTGGAAGTGGGAAAACCTCTTGTTTTACTTGCCCTTACCATGTAAGTCTGTTTTGTATCCCTATTTCCCATGTGATTTGACTTGAAAAAAATCCTGATCTTTCCATGTTTTCTGCTGTTTAATTGTTTTGAACTTAGATTCTCTTGGTTTCTGCCTTGAATCCTATGTCTTCTGCAGGGATGGACGTATGGGTTAAATGGAGCACTTCGTAAGGCGACCAGTATTTCGGGAATACAGGACTTCGTTGTAAATGTATACTGTCGAGTACTTTAGCATAAATGTTTGCCTTTTTGTTAGTTCGACTGCAATCTTTTGTTTTCTTGTATCATATTTTCCAGTTAGTTGATAACTTTGTGGACACCTGTTGCAATTGATAATAGAAATTCGGGCTTGTACCAATACAAGTTGCTACTTGGGGACCATTTGTTCTTCTGAATATGGATAAGGAGTTTGCTACTGACTGCATTGCAAGTGACTGGCTTGGTAGCTCCTCTGAAATATTCAGCCTCAATGGAGTTGATTCCCCATTAAGTTATGTTTGTCGTCGTGAGTACATCATCGAATGTAACTGGAAGGTGTCTCTGTAGTTAACGGAAGTTCCCTCAATTTTATATGTTTCTCTTAGCATTTTGTGATGATTCCTAATGTAATATACAAGGTTTCCTTGTAGTTTTCATAAAGCTGTCCATTAATCCGTTAGCTTCATCTGTGGAAAAGGCTTTAATTAGTATTATCACTACCACAAAAAACATAATGTTCTCTCCAATATTAGATTGTGTATTCCCCATGTTAATGATGATATGATTGTGGTGCAAAGCTTGCTGAACATACATACAGCTGTCTTTTGTTTCTTTTACTTGCAGGTATTCTGTGATAACTATTTGGATGGTGGTTACCATGTGCCATTTTCACGCAAAGGTCTTTCACTTGACTCATATACCACCTCAGTATGATTCAGTCTGATCCTTTTGCAAGTTATATTTAATATATTCTTTTTCACATCGTATCACTATGTAATATTGATAATAGTTCATGAGTAGATATTCGAAAAGGTTAGCATCCAAAGTCACCAAACCCTTTGTGAGGTTGAGCTATTATAAAAGCTCTTAATTATTTCATATTCCTTTTTAAAGGGTGGTTTATGTTGAGATAAACTTGATGAAATAACCTATGTAAGTGAGAAGGGTTAGCCGCCTTCTATGAAAAATGTTGGACTGTTTTTCTAGCACACTTACTAGAATCCTGAGGTAAGATGGCCAAATATATACGTTTGTATATATATATCTTACACATCGAGGACTCAGGTGGATGAAGGGGTTAGTTGTGTGTTATGAGTTTACCCTGATCTTAGAAAGTTCCAGACTAGTTTCACTTATCTAAGAGAAGGATTGCTCATCATCACTATGTACTAGTTCCAGATATGTTCACTAGTGCTTAAGCAACTAATCTCGCTATTACTCTTCTGGAAAGCTTGTTTTCGAGTTTCAGAAGATTTCTTTCGCATTAGTGGGGGAATGTTGGTAATGCTCAATCCCACATAGTGTTGGAAACACTATTGGGAATGGTATTTAAGGCTTGACATTCCACTTCCTTGTTGAGTGATAGAGAACAAGGGGGGCTCTCGCGCACCGCCGCCGCCGTCCGTCCGTCTCGTCTCGTCTCGGCTCGGCACGGCTCGGCTCGGCTCGTGGTCGTGGTCGTGGTCGTGGTCGTGGTCGTGGTCGTGGTCGAGGTCGAGGTCGAGGTCGTGGTCGTGGTCGTGGTCGTGGTCGTGGTCGTGGTCGTGGTAATACGTGTCTTCGACACGTCCGCGCGGATACTATCTTTTTAGAGAAAATTCTTGAGGAATTTCTCTTTGAAAGAAACAAATGGAAAATGTGAAAGATATCAACTGATATTTATAGGCTGCTGAGGACTGTTTGAATTTCAAATAATAACAGCTGAATTATTATTTTTTATCAGAAATTAAACAGTTTATTCCTAAATTAAATCAGAAACGTTAAGATGTACCTGGACTGATTTACAGCTTTGTACAGAGGAGACAAGCTGTTAATATCAGGAGTTACAGGAGTTATTTGATTTAATTCCAGGGGTTACATGATATAATTTCGGGAGTTATAACAGCTGAATAATGATACAATGAACCTGGACTATTTCTGAGTCAGGTTCATCTAGACGTTTCAGCTGTTACAAATAAGAGGTTTAATCCTGAAATTTTATGGACGATTTTAACCCTATTTCTAGCCTATAAATAGAGAGCTATATTCAGCTTCTCAACTCACTCCAAAACATTTTACAATTCACTTACAAAGTGTTTTCTAAAGTTCTCTCCGTGAGTTCTCTCTGAGTGCTTTCCGATCAGAAGTACAATACCACCAGCAGTCCACTCCGGTTTCGGGTGTACCGAATTTGGAGCGACCGTGTTAACCTCGGGGGACGGTCCGCCTACTGCAGCGATTACACACATCGAGGCGAATTCGTTTCTAAGGCAGTGGTTCTTACCACGACACGGTTTACGAATCTGTTCTTCTTAATTACTGTTTATATTTTCAGTCAGTGCTAACGGTGTAGTTTTGCAGTTCATATATCCAACAATTTAGAAACGAATTTCCATAAACTGCAATCATGTCGACACCTTTGAGCAAACTCATTCCCGATCTTTCCAAGCTCGATGCACTTGATGGAAAGAACTATAGAAGGTGGTCCCAAAGAATTCTGATATTCTTCGAGCAACTTGATCTTGATTACGTGTTGCTCAAGCCACCACCTACCATGCCACCAACCCCAGCTGTCGGTAATGATGCGGATACGATCCTCAATGATGATGCCTTAGCAACTGCCGCCGCCGTTCTCGCTACCTACGAGAAATACGAGAAGGATAACAAGACGGTACGAGGACATTTGCTCAGCCACATGTCAAATAAACTATTGATATGTTCCTTAGAGAAAGGAGTGCCAAGACAATATGGGACACTCTCGACAAGAAGTATGGTGCGGATGATGCGGGGATAAAGAAGTACGTTGTCGGTGAATGGCTCAAATTCCAGATGACAGACGACAAACCAATAATGGATCAAGTCCATGACTATGAGAACTTAGTCGCTGACATCATCGCTGAAGGGATGCAAATGTGTGAGGTGCTGCAAGCCAATGTACTCATTGAGAAGCTGCCCAAGTCCTGGTCCGATTACCGCAACTCTCTTAAGCATAAGAAGAGAGACATTTCGCTTGAAGAACTTGTGGGCCATATGAAGATTGAAGAAGCCAACCGTTTAAAAGATAAGCTTACTAATTCTATGAGTAATTTATCTTTTAGAGCTAACTTGGTTGAGTCTAAATTTAAGAAGATCATGAAACGTGGGAATCAAGACAAAAAGACGAAACCACAGAAGGCTACCAACTTCAAGAAGTCAGGAAAGGCCAAACCGGAAGGAAAGACGTTCAAGTGTTATGTCTGCGGTTTACCTGGCCACAAAGCTTACCAATGCCAACACCGCTCAGACCGCCAAAATGACAACAAGCCACAGATGCACGTTGTAGAAGAAGATGATGATATCATTGCTGCGGTGGTCTCAGAAGTTAATCTGGTGGAGAACAGTTCAGAATGGGTAGTTGACACTGGCGCTTCGAAGCATTTCTGCGCAAGGAAGGAGTTTTTCACCGAGTTCGAGGATGGAAACACTGGTGAACGTGTGTACATGGGGAACTCTAGCAGCTCTGAAGTGCTAGGCAAAGGCAAGGTTTTACTCAAGCTGACTTCTGGTAAAACTCTGGCTTTAAATAATGTTCTGTATGTACCTGCCTTGCGTAGAAATTTGATAAGTGGTGGGCTTCTGAATAAGGCAGGCATTAAGTTAGTTTTTGAGGCAGATAAACTTGTACTTTCCCGAAATGGTGATTATGTGGGGAAAGGGTTTTTAAGCAATGGTTTATTTGTCATAGAAACTCAATTTAATGAAAATAAAGCTACCACTTCTGCTTATATTGTTGAATCCATTGATATGTGGCATGCTAGATTAGGACACGTGAATATTCATGCTTTAAAGAAATTAATGAATATGAATGTTCTGCCTAAACTAGACACAACTAGCTTTAACAAATGTGAGATTTGTGTAGAAGCTAAACATACTAGACCTCACTTTAAGACTGTTTCTAATAGAAAGACTGAACTGTTAGAACTTATTCATACTGATCTAGCAGATTTTAGAAACACTGAAAGTAAAGGAGGAAAACACTACTACATAACTTTTGTAGATGATTATTCAAGATATACAAAAGTTTATCTCCTAAGAACTAAAGATGAAGCTGAAAACTTCTTTCTTATTTATAAGGCAGAAGTTGAAAATCAGTTAGAAAGGAGAATCAAACGGGTTAGATCTGATAGAGGTGGTGAATATGGATCTAATTTCTTAAAAGATATTTGTGAAAAGAATGGCATAATTCATGAAACATCAGCCCCCTATTTTCCTCAACAGAATGGTATAGCCGAAAGGAAAAATAGAACTTTAAAGAGATGATGAATTCTTTACTAATAAGTTCCGGGTTATCTGATAACATATGGGGGGAGGCCATTCTATCAGCAACTCATATCTTGAACCGAGTTCCTCATAAGAAATTAGATTCTACCCCATATGAATTGTGGAAAGGATACGCTCCTAATTTACAATACCTGAAAGTGTGGGGGTGTCTGGCTAAAGTGGGCTTGCCAGATTTTAAGAAGTCCACCATCGGACCTAAAACCGTTGATGCAGTGTTTATAGGGTATGCTACGAATAGTGCTGCATACAGATTCATGCTTTTACAAGATTATTCTATTTGTGAATCAAGAGATGCTGTTTTCTTTGAAAATACTTTTCCTTTAAAGGAACCGAGAATAAATATTGAAACACAAATAGAATATATTCCATCAACTTCTTCTAGTAATCCTGCTAGGTCTTTTGAACAAATTGATTTTGAGCCTAGAAGAAGTAAAAGGCAAAGAGTTGAAACCTCTTTTGGACCAGACTTTATTACTTCCTTTATTTCTGAGATAAATGATTTAGACTTCATTTCAGATCCTATAGCTCAAATTTTTCTATTAGATGAGGATCCTAAAACTTTTGAAGAAGCTATAAGATCTATCGATGCTAGTTTTTGGAAAAGCGCTGTTAATGATGAACTAGAATCGATAATGTCTAATCATACTTGGGAATTAGTTGACTTGCCTAAGGGATTCAAACCAATCTCCAACAAATGGGTCTTCCGGAAGAAACTAAGGCCAGATAGTTCGATTCAGCGGTACAAGGCAAGGTTAGTCGTCAAAGGGTTCACTCAAAGGTTTGGTTTAGACTACTTTGATACATACTCTCCCGTTACAAAAATCTCAACGATTCGTGCATTATTTGCACTAGCCTCTATTCATAAGTTGCAGGTACATCAAATGGATGTTAAGACTGCTTTCTTGAATGGGGATCTAGATGAGGAGATTTACATGGAGCAACCACTAGGTTTTGAGGCACCTGGTATGGAAGGCAAAGTTTGTAGACTCAAAAAGTCACTCTATGGACTTAAGCAGGCTCCTAAACAGTGGTATGAGAAATTTCATAAAACTATTCTTAGTTTTGGTTTTGTTGTGAATGGTTCGGATGCTTGTGTGTATTCGAAGATGTTTGAAACTGAATGTGTTATCATAAGTCTTTATGTTGATGACATGTTGATTTTCAGTTCTAACATTGAGTCCATTAACAAAGTTAAAAATTTCTTGTCCACTAAGTTTGAGATGACAAATTTGGGAGAAGTAGATGTAATCTTAGGAGTCAAAGTTACCAAAACTGAGAAGGGATTTCTTTATGTCAAGCACATTATATAGAGAAAGTGCTAAAGAAATTTGACAGTTTTGATGTCGTCCCTGTTCGAACTCCTTATGACCCTAGCATACATCTAGTTAAGAATAAAGGAAGTAGTGTTTCCCAAACTGAATATGCTAAATTAATCGGAAGTTTAATGTTCTTAATGAACTATACTCGGCCTGATATTGCTTATGCCGTGAGTAGACTAAGTAGATATACTCATAATCCGAGTGGTGAGCACTGGATTGCGCTTAAACGCTTACTAAAGTATCTTAAGGGTACTGTGAATTGGAAACTTGAGTTTGTTGGCTTTCCTGCGGTATTGGAAGGATATTGTGATGCCAACTGGGTTTCTGATAATGATGAGGTAAGCTCTACAAGCGGGTATGTTTTTACTTTGGGTGGAGCAGCGATCTCGTGGAAATCATCAAAGCAGACTTGTATTGCTCGTTCTACCATGGAGTCAGAGTTTATAGCTCTTGACCTAGCTGGGCAAGAAGCCGAGTGGCTCAGAAGCTTGTTAGCAGATATTCCGTTGTGGGGAAGACCGACTCCTCCAGTTTCATTGTTGTGTGATTCACAAGCTGCAATATGTGTGGCTAAGAACCAAGCTTACAATGGTAAGAAAAGACACGTTCGCATAAGACATGAATCAGTTAGACACTTGATAAAGAATGGAGTGCTCTCTTTAGAGTATGTGAAGTCGGAAAGGAACCTAGCAGATCCACTTACCAAAGGGTTAAGTCGGAAGCTGGTCCTAGATTCATCGAGGGGGATGGGTCTAAAGCCCATTGGTTGAGGAATTCATGGTGGATACCCAACTTAGTTATCTAAGTTCCATGTGGTCAAACGAAACCATGGAAAGACTCATAGTGCACATTCCTACTGCCTATCCCTATGATGAATAATGTGCATGCCCAGGATGAGCTTAATTGCTCTTAATAAATTCATAGCCCAGGCTTTGGGTGGTCTTAGTGAGAAAGACTTGATGAATTTACCGATTTTGGCTGAATATCTATTCTTAATAAGTTCATAACCCAGACCGAGTGGGTAGGAAATGATGAACTTACCGACAGAAAGGTTGAGTTTGTTAAACTCTTAATAAATTCAAATCCAAGTATTTGGATGGTTCTAGTGAGAAGGACTTATTGAATTTACCGATAAATGAGGTTGAATATTTATTCTTAATGACTTCTTAGCCCAGAGTTTGGGTGGTTCATTTATAATGAACTTGAAAAAAGTCACCAAACCCTTTGTGAGGTTGAGCTATTATAAAAGCTCTTAATTATTTCATATTCCTTTTTAAAGGGTGGTTTATGTTGAGATAAACTTGATGAAATAACCTATGTAAGTGAGAAGGGTTAGCCGCCTTCTATGAAAAATGTTGGACTGTTTTTCTAGCACACTTACTAGAATCCTGAGGTAAGATGGCCAAATATATACGTTTGTATATATATCTTACACATCGAGGACTCAGGTGGATGAAGGGGTTAGTTGTGTGTTATGAGTTTACCCTGATCTTAGAAAGTTCCAGACTAGTTTCACTTATCTAAGAGAAGGATTGCTCATCATCACTATGTACTAGTTCCAGATATGTTCACTAGTGCTTAAGCAACTAATCTCGCTATTACTCTTCTGGAAAGCTTGTTTTCGAGTTTCAGAAGATTTCTTTCGCATTAGTGGGGGAATGTTGGTAATGCTCAATCCCACATAGTGTTGGAAACACTATTGGGAATGGTATTTAAGGCTTGACATTCCACTTCCTTGTTGAGTGATAGAGAACAAGGGGGGCTCTCGCGCACCGCCGCCGCCGTCCGTCCGTCTCGTCTCGTCTCGGCTCGGCACGGCTCGGCTCGGCTCGTGGTCGTGGTCGTGGTCGTGGTCGTGGTCGTGGTCGTGGTCGAGGTCGAGGTCGAGGTCGTCGTGGTCGTGGTCGTGGTCGTGGTCGTGGTCGTGGTAATACGTGTCTTCGACACGTCCGCGCGGATACTATCTTTTTAGAGAAAATTCTTGAGGAATTTCTCTTTGAAAGAAACAAATGGAAAATGTGAAAGATATCAACTGATATTTATAGGCTGCTGAGGACTGTTTGAATTTCAAATAATAACAGCTGAATTATTATTTTTTATCAGAAATTAAACAGTTTATTCCTAAATTAAATCAGAAACGTTAAGATGTACCTGGACTGATTTACAGCTTTGTACAGAGGAGACAAGCTGTTAATATCAGGAGTTACAGGAGTTATTTGATTTAATTCCAGGGGTTACATGATATAATTTCGGGAGTTATAACAGCTGAATAATGATACAATGAACCTGGACTATTTCTGAGTCAGGTTCATCTAGACGTTTCAGCTGTTACAAATAAGAGGTTTAATCCTGAAATTTTATGGACGATTTTAACCCTATTTCTAGCCTATAAATAGAGAGCTATATTCAGCTTCTCAACTCACTCCAAAACATTTTACAATTCACTTACAAAGTGTTTTCTAAAGTTCTCTCCGTGAGTTCTCTCTGAGTGCTTTCCGATCAGAAGTACAATACCACCAGCAGTCCACTCCGGTTTCGGGTGTACGGAATTTGGAGCGACCGTGTTAACCTCGGGGGACGGTCCGCCTACTGCAGCGATTACACACATCGAGGCGAATTCGTTTCTAAGGCAGTGGTTCTTACCATGACACGGTTTACGAATCTGTTCTTCTTAATTACTGTTTATATTTTCAGTCAGTGCTAACGGTGTAGTTTTGCAGTTCATATATCCAACAGAAGGTATGGACCTTGGATGGACACCAATCTGGCAATCCCATTGGGACCAAGGAAATGTTTGGTAGTGTTTGACTATTTTCTTGAAGCTTCCCTTGAGGTAACTTTATTTATCGTATATGTTACGAAATACTCATCGTAGTTTTAAATATACAGAATACGTGAGGACATATTGTTTACAACGCATAGTTATAAGCAGGTAAATAAATTTCATTTAGTAACCTATAACCTAGATACTTTGAGCATGGTAAATTACTATGCTAACTGCGATTAAAGAAAGGATAATCACATCCTACAAAATGCGGAAATTTCTCATTTAAGCCTTATTTTTGGATTCTTCCAGTGTTGCAAGTCAAATACATTGGACAAAAGGAATTGGACAAAAGAAATTTCTTGAAGAGCAATGCCTTTTCTTCCAAAGGAAAACATACCGCAGGAATGGAAAAGACTTTGTAAACTGAAGACAGATTGGATGAGCTGTAAATGATCTGCCTAGAATAGCCTCTTAGATGTCCAACCATTAATCCTTTCAGTAATTTGTGGATTAAAGCATCACATACATTGCGAACAGTGAGCCTACCATAAATTTGAGGAATTCCCGAATACTTACAGGCAACTACCAGGTTGAAAACCAAAAACCTGTTGTAGCTCCTGAAGAATACAGGATTCACATTGGCAGAAAAATTTCAGACTTGGACTGGATTGATTTTCCTTGTTGAAGACTTGGGATTTGAGACTGCTAAGTTTTAGAAAGACAGAAAAACCTTTCCACTTAAAATTCTTCTATCAGAAACAACATTGGGTATTTCTTTTTATTTATCTATGGGAGCCTGTCTGTTTGAGACAGAATGTCGGTTGCCATGTTCCAATGGAAGGGGGAGGATGACATCGTTCCTGATATCTTTGTCATCTGTTCACGAATGAAAGGAAGGATACTGTATTAGTTACGGAGGAAAACAATCATCTAATGCATGCACCATATTATTTAGGATGAGAAAAGAAAAGCAATTTGATTAATGGATTCCGAGTATATGTCTGTAACCATTTCTATGTGCCTCTGCATGCATAATATGTACTAGGAGAATGATGACTGCATGTCTGCATGTCTGCATCAACCATTCTGTTCAACTGCCCTCAGTTACACATGCATGGACATAAAGTTGTCTCCTTTCATTATATCTAATATTTGACTGTATTTGTGACAAAAAATTTAAATGTTTGTTTAAACTGTGAAAGATTCTGCATATCTAGCCTTTTAATGGAAACTTTGTATTCGTGACGTGGTTCCTATTTAACCGAGCTATTCTTTTGGCCTCAGGGTGACAAAGCTTTCATCGAGAGAAGTCTAAAGGATAGTGAAAAGGTTCAGGTACCAGCAAAACAAATCTCTAGTTACTGTTAAAATCATTCAACCTCCAAAATCCTGCCTTCTGTAACAAGGAAGATATGCAGATGGAAGACATTGTACTGTGTGAAGGTGTTCAAAGGGGTATCGAGTCACCGGCATATAACGGTGGAAGATATGCTCCGAATGTCGAGAAGGCCATGCATCACTTCCATTGTTTGCTTCATGAGAATCTGCTAAACTAAATCCACCTTGTTACGTGAATAACACGAAACGAATTCGAGAATTTTCTCTCATGCCTTGTTGAATGCATGTTATTATATATTAGAAATAGATTTTCAACTCTTAATCCGTTGAAAGTATATTAAAGTTTATACCATCTAATTATATATCTCTTATTTAAGTTAAAACATACTTCAACTTCATGTACTTTTTGTATATTAGAAATTTGAACCATCGATTCTTATTTCTAGAAATTTAGTTCCTCTACTTTCTAAAATTAAGAATAAGTACATTTAATAATACTGTTAAATTATTTTCTTAAATGTCTTAATGTGACATTTTAATATAAAAAAATTAACTTGACAACAATGTAACTAGAAAAGTCCCATTTTCATTTTTGTTAAAATAAATGGAGGGTGAAGAAAACACAAGCAATGGGCATCGTTAATAATGTAATTAGAAAATTATAAGTTTGTGATCAAAATGCAAACATGCTAATAGTTAAATGACCAATGATGTTGTTTTCCATGTAATTAATTACAGCAAAAAGGAGTCAAAGGGGGTATTGAATGGTGCGGATGATGACATGATAATGGGTGTAATTATGAAGGTTAATGCATTGAGTCAATAAAACACATGATGTTGTCTGCGCTTTGTTCCGCGAATAGTTTTAGCATAATTAATAATAGGGTAAAGTCTATAAATAGTCTCTAAACTTTTAGGGCATTTACATTTTGGCCATCTAACTTTTGAAACTTACAATACAATCATCAAACTTTTAGCTCATTTTCATTTTGGTCCCTACCGTTACCTCTAGTTAGTTTTTGCTGACGTGGAACTTAACCTTCTTAGCTTTTCTGACGTGGCTTTTTCTTCTTCTTCATTCTATTCTGCTTTCTTCTTATTCCTCCTCTTCTGCTTTTTTTCTTATTCTTCCTCCTTCTTCTTCAAAGCAATCATCTTCAGCTTCAAAATCCGATTCCAAAAATGACCCAACATGCAAGAGGGATGGGAGATAACAATTACCAAGCTGCAAAGACGTCGTGGTTGGGTTTGAAGCACGGTAGGGGTGAGATCGTTGAAAGAGGTTGAAGGTGGTACCGATGGTGGCAACGCAAGGTTGAAACTGTCGTGGCAAGTAGGAAGGGTGGCAGCATTGGTGGAGAGGTAGGACACATGCTTGGATTGGTTATGGATGTCGTAAGAGCAGCTGTCATGGTCAATGAGGAAAATGACACATGTTGCAGTTGTGGGATCTAGGAGCGATGGAAGGGAGACCGAGGAATGAGAGCTCGGTTCTTGGTAGAGCAGCATGGACGCGACATTCATGGTGGTTCTCTTGGCTCCTCTGCCACCATTGTCAGTGCCACACTTCTGAAAGACCATGTATATCACCCATTCATCCCAGAATAATCAAATAAAACACATGCCAATTTCAACAAACAATGAATACTTGAAACAACAACCAATGGCTCCTCCGCCACCATTGTCGTGCTTCAAACCCAACTACGAAGTCTTTGCAACTTGGTACTTACTATCTCCCATACCTCCTGCATGTTGGGTCGGTTTTGAAATCGGGTTTTGAAGCTAAAGATGATTGCTTTGAAGAAGAAGAATAAAGAAGGAATAAGAAGAAGAATAGAAAGCATAAAAGGAGGAGGAGGAAGATAAAGCCACGTCAAAAAAGTTAACGGGGCTAAGTGCCACGTCAGCAAAAACTAACGGGAGGTAACAGTAGGAACCAAAATGAAAACAAACTAAAAATTTTGATGACCGTATTGCAAATTTCAAAAGCTGGGTGACCAAAATGCAACCACCCTAAAAGTTCATGGACTATTTATATACTTTACCCTCAATAATATGCAAATTTATAATAAAAGCTTTACGTGTTTAATTCTATTAAAAAAGGAGCAAAAAATCAGAAAAGTTGTGGAGATCAATTTTAAATTTACTTTGAGTCTTTTCTATGAGAAGATCGATTTTATGTTATAAGTTTTACAAGTTAATGAAATTTTAATTATTTAATATTATTATATATTTTTTGGAAAAGAAACTGTTTGATTGTAAGAATAACTTGTACTATGCACAAAAGAAGTGCATAACAGTAAATAAGACACATAACTATAATAATAGAGAAAAATCAAAAGAAAATGTTTTAAAACGATAATTTTCAACTATGAATAACAATCAATGTGTAAGCTTTGTAACAAATCTGAAAATTACCTCAACTAACAAATGATTATCGAAATATAAAAATATTAATTAATAAAAAAACACGATTAAGAAACAATATAAAAGTTGACTCTATCAAATTAAATTGAACTCACCCATAACACTCAAATCAAATGGTTCACAACTCACTTCGTTCTCTACGATAACTTAACAAAACAACAACTTATAATTAATGTATCATTTATATGCTTTACCTTAAATTTATAACATTATTTAAGAAATTATCAGTTATCGGTTAATTCTTCCTTCATAATCCATATTATATATAGGGTAAACTATACGGGTGACCACTAAACTATTGTCCATTTTAATTTTGATCACTGACGTTTCGATTCGATCAATCAAACCACCTGACTATTTGAATGCTTCGATCAAGCCCTTGGCCGTTAATTTTTAATGGAGGTGGTAACATGGAAGTTAATAAAATTGGCATAATTATATATTTGGTCTTTAATATTTATACATTCTATCAATTTAGTCACTATTTTAATTCAATTGAATAAATTTAACCCTCCAATCCGAAGGTGCCACGTGTCACTACATGATTGGAGGGTTAATTTAATTAATTTTAATATTTTATTTAAATAAAATTTTGCCACCAATCAGGTGGTAACATGTGGCACCTTCTGATTGAAGGGTTAAATTATTTAATTGAATTAAAATATTGACTAATTGATGGAATGTGTAAATATTAGGGACCAAATCTATATAATTATACCAATTTTATTAACTGTCATGTCACCACCTCCGTTAAAAATTAATGGACAGTGACTTGATTGAAACATTTAAATAGTTGGGTGGTTTGATTGGTCGAATCAAAACATCAGTGATCAAAATGAAAATGGGCAACAATTTAGTGGTCACCTGTGTAGCTAACCCTTATATCTATATATAATAATGGGTAAATTATTTAAATGACTTCTTAATTATGGGGTTAGTGTTGATGATCATTATACTTTTAATTTTGATAATATGATCATATAATTATTTAAGTGATTTCAATGTAGCCGCCCATCGTGAAAATTAAGCGGTGTAGTTGATGTGGTTGTTATTGACTAACCACGAGTCAGAGGTCCACATCAGTTACACAATCTATTTGTAACACCAATTGCTTACGTTGAAACCACTTAAATAGTTATATGATCATATTGCCAAAATTAAAAGTATGATGATAACCCTATATTTAAGTGACCATTTAAGTATTCAATAAGTTAAATTATTTTGTAAATAACTTAATTTAATCTATATTCATAAATGAACAATTAGACGAAAAACACCAGTTCACCAAATAATTATCCATTTATACACATGGAAAGGTACAGTGTACAGATAGATAGGGAGAGGGATAGAGCTGGGAAAAGTGAGAAGGGAAAGAAGAAAACAAAGTTGTAGGATGGGAAACGTCTGGGTTTTTTAATTCTCATGCTCTGTTGGGGAAGATGATTACATCATTTTGTTCTTTGACAAACTTAACCAAATTCTATATCTTCCTCCAATCTTCGTAACCCATTCTTTTTCTTTCCCTTTTTTATCACTGTTTGCTTTCTCCGTTTACTCGTCGTCTGTTTTCCCGGCGCCGGCCACTTTCCCTCCCTTCTTTTCCGCCCCGGAGTCCGTTTCGTGTAATTTTATTTCCTTTCCCCCGGGAAATTGGGATTTTACCTTTACTTTGACTACTGTTTGAATATTGTCAACTGAGCTGATCTGAGCTATCCAGCACGCTTTCGAGTAGTGTAATTGCTTTGTCTTTTCAAGCTAATCAGAAATGAACAGCTCAAAAGTTAGATTTTTTTTTGTCTTGAAGTTCAAGGGGAAAATAAAAGCAATGAAAGCGCCGGCCGCCGGAGCTGGATCTACATCGAACGCTGCAGCTTCGAATTCGGGTGAAGGTCCGCTCTTTCTCTTTTGATTTACTTAGATTATCCTATAAAAGGTTTGATTTTTCTTCTCTCTTCCAATCAATCTCTACTAAAAAAGCTCTAAGCTCTGCTTTATTTCTACTTTTTCTTTCCGTTGAACTAAAATCTCTAGCTAGATACATTAAGTTTATTCTTCTTTTCTTTTTATTTAAAAGCGTGAATTGACTTATGGTTGCTTGAGCGGCGATGCAGGTGTTTTGCCGGAGAAGAAGACAATCAACCCGGAACTATGGCAGGCGTGCGCCGGACCTCTGGTAAACCTTCCGGCTGCCGGGACCCACGTTGTCTACTTCCCTCAAGGACACAGCGAACAGGTGAACTAAATTGCCAACTCTTGTCGACATTTACTATAGATTCTTTTGCTGCTGCTGAGAATGAATTTTTAAAATAAATTGGTTTGATCTATGTGTTTTTGGGTTTTATTAATTGTTTGTATTTGATGCGGTAGGAGTGCATAATTTATAATCAATGAATTAAATGATTTCCCATGAAAACAAAGGATGTTGAACTTTGTTTTATTCAGACATTTTGCCATGGTATAGTCGCTTTATTAGGATATATTTACATGGTGATAGATTTCATCTTCTATCTTGGTTAAATATGTGTTCTGACCTGAATAAAATTTCCAATCTCAGGTAGCAGCCTCAATGAGGAAAGATGTGGATGCTCAAGTTCCGAACTACCCGAATCTTCCCTCTAAGCTATTTTGTCTCCTTCACAATGTCACGTTGCATGTACTGCTACCTGACTTTAGGAATGCCGACTATCTTTAATTTATTTGTGCTTTCAAATCCATTTTTCTCACCTCTCTTGTTTGAATTTGCAGGCAGATCCGGAGACGGATGAAGTCTATGCTCAGATGACCCTCCAACCCGTTTCTTCTGTAAAGAGC